GGCAAGTGTGCCAAATGCCTTCTTCATTAACCTGTCTACCTGTGATGCAACTTTCACAGAACTATGTATGTGTACCCCTAAGTCTGGGATGGAGGTGGGATCCTAAACAGTAGTGATACAAAAGAGAAAGTTGAGGCTAGTGCAGAAGTTAATGAGAGCAAGTTAAATCAACAGGGGAGACAAGAGTACAGCGGGGAAAGAGGGAAGAATGATTAATTAAACTGTAAGAGGCCTGACAGGTGAGGCAGATAAACTCGGGGCATTGATGGGGATATGGGACTGGGATATTAAAGCTATTACAGAAATATGGCGGAGGGAGGGACAGGGCTGGCAGCTCAATGTTCCGGGGTACAGATGCTATAGGAAGGATAGAAAGGGAGGCAGGATAGGAAGGGGATTGGCATTTTTAGGAAAACATCACAGCAGTACGTAGAGATGATGTTCCTGCGGGATCATCCAGGGATCTTCATGGATCGAACAAAGAAATAAGAAGTAAGTGATCATTTTGATGGGATTGTACTATAGGCCCCCCAGTAGACAGCAGGAAACTGAGGACCAAGTATGAAGGGACATCACAGATAGCTGTAAGAATAACAGGATTGTAATAGTGGGGATTTTAATTTCCCAAAAATTGACTTGGACTGCTGTAGTGTTAAGGGCTTGGACAGTGAGGAATTTGTTAAGTGTGTCAAGAAAACTTTCTCAATCAGTATGTAAATGTTTCTAGAGAAGGGGCAAAACCTGACCTCCTTTTGGGAACTAAGGCAGGGCAAGGGACTGAGGTGTTAGTAGGGAGCACTTTGAGCCCAGTGACCATAATTCTGTTTGTTTTAAATAGGAAAGGATAGGTTTTGTCCACAAGTCAAAGTTCTAAATTGGGGCAAGGACAACTTTTGGTGGTATTAGATAGGGACCTACAAAAATGGATTGGAAGAGGCTGTTCATGGGTAAAGGGGCATCTGGTAAGTGGAAAGCTTTCAAAAGTGAGATAACAAGAGTTCAGGGGCAGCATGTTCCTGTTAGGGTGAAAGGCAAGGCTGACAGGAGTAGGGAATACTGGATGACTAGAGATATTGAGGCTCTGGTCAAGAAAAGGAGGAGGCATATGTCAGGTATAGACAGCTGGGCTCAAGTGAATCCCTTGAGGATTATAGGGGGTGTTGGAGTGCACTGAGGAAGGAAATCAGGAAAGCAAAAAGGGGACATGAGATAGCTTTGTCAGATAAGGTAAAGGAGAATCCAAAGTGACTCTACAAGTATATTAAGGGCCAAGGTGTAACTTGGGAGAGAATAGGGCCTCTTAAAGATCAACGTGATTGTCTGTACGGGGAGACATAGGAGATGGGTAAGATATCAAACTATCAAAGGTGATCAAAGGTGGCCTTGATATGAAGGGGTGTCACTCTCACTTTTGGAGTTCAAACTTATTATCCAGGTCTTAACCAAGGGTCACAAGCCGAGTGGTCCTGGTGGAACACAAACTAGGCGTCAGTGAGCAAGTTATTCCATTGCAACTACCGCTTGATAACACTGCTGATGCCACCTTCCACCACTTCACTGATAAGTGGGAGTAGACTGATGTGGTGGATTGGTTTTGTACAGGACATACCTGGGCAATTTTCCACATTGTTGGGCAGATGCCAGTTGTAGCTCTATCAGAACAGCTTGCCTGGGGAAGCGGCAAGTTCTGGAGCACAAGCCTTCAGTACTATTGCTGGAATGTTGTCAGGCCCATAGCCAATACAGTATTCTGTACTGGAGTTTCAGAGTAGATCATGGGCTCAATTACTAAAACATTGGTTCAGACACAGTTGGAGTATTGTGTCCAGTTCATTCGGAATCATCTGAAGGCATAAGGGACAGTGCAGACAAAAAAGCCACAAAACAATTTCATTGATAAGGAATTGCAGTTGTGAAGTTAGATCAGAGAAATAATGTATTTGGTCGAGGTGTTCAAAATCATAAGTGGCCTGGACAGAGTAAAGAGGGGGTGTCTGTTCCCACTTATGAAAGGATTGAAAATAAGAGAGCACTGATTTAAAGTAATTCATTAAAGAAGCGGCAATAAAATGAGGAGAGACTATTTCCCCACAGCGAGTGGTGAGGCTCTGAAATGTAGCTGAGTGTAGGAAAGTCACATTCAATGGCAGTTTTCCAAGAAGAATTTGATCATTATCAAAAATTAAAGGATGACTGGAGTTTACAGGCAGGAGGTTGGGGAGTGACAGTAAGTTAATTACTCCTATGGACAGTCAGCTTTGCAAGGTTACAGAGCTCTGAGATGCAGGGGGTTCTGGTGTCCATAGAACCATGGAAATTATACGGTACAAAAGAGAGCCATTTGGCCAATCTTGGCCATACCAACACAAAGACACCCAGATGCCCTTTCTAAGCTTGTCTTCCTGCACACAGCCCATAGCCCTGCAGCTTACAGCACTTTTAAAAGAGTTTAGGGTCTCTGCCTCCACCACCCACTCAGGCAGCAAATTCCAGACACCCACATCCCACTGCATGAAAAGGTTTTTCCTTAAGTTCCCTCTAATATTTCTGCATGCATTGCAAAAAGTTAAAATGCAGAAACAGCCAGTAATTAGGAAAGCTAATGGAATGTTATAGTTTATTGCAAGAGAAGCTGAATACAAAAATAGGGAGGTTATGCGACAGTTATACAGGACATTGGTAAGACCACATCTGGAGTACTGTGTAGAGTATTGGGAATCTTATTTAAGGAAGCATGTAAGTGATTGGAAGCAATTCAGAGCTTCACCATGCTCCCACTTGGAATGGGCAGGTTTATGAGAAAAGGGCTAAACTTCTACCCATTGTGATGCCAAGGTATACAAGGCTATGGGCCAAGTGCTGGAGGATGGATTAGAATAGTTACTGTCTCCACTTGTTGACAAAAAAAGGAAGATTTCTGAGGAAAAGCACAGAATCCCTGGAAAAAATGTGACGCTGTATAAGGAGTGATTTCGTGCTTGTTTCGGAATGCTTCCCTTTTGCAGAATGGGAAGAATTTTTTGTCATGTCTGTGCATGAAGCACTGTCATCAGAAAGCACAGACTCGATGGGCCGAAGGACCCTTTTGTGCACTGTACACCTCTATGACTCTATGATGAAGTGGTGACTGAATTGAAACATACAAAGTCCTGAGGGGTCTTCACAGGGTAAATGTGGAGAGGGTGTATCTCTTGTGGGAGAGTCTGCAACTAGCAGTCACTGTTTAAAAATAATAAGGGTTGCTCATTTTTGAGATGCGATGTATTTATTTCTCTTAGATGGCGTGAGTCTGTCATTGGGCTGTGATTCTTTGGAACTATGTTTGTTTAAAAGGCAGTGGAAGCAGAATCTTTGAATATTTTTAAAGCAAAGGCGGAGAGATTCTTGTTAAACAAGGGCGGTGAGAGGTTATCAGATTAAATAGGAATGTGGAGTAATCAGATCAGACACGATTTTATTGAATGAAGGAGGAGACTCAGCCTGATTCAAATGTTCAGCACAGATATGATGGGCCAAATGACCTCTTTGGAACAGGGTACAACGGAAAAATCCAAATAGCCTGCCTCCATGTTATAAACTTTTAATGATTCCACATCTCTATGACTGAAAACAACAAATGCTGGAGATCACAGCCGGTCAAACAGCATCCATGGAGAGAAAACAAGCTGATGTTTCCAGTCTCTGGAGTAAGACTTGAGCCCACTACCATCCAACTCAGAAAGTAAGGGGAATGGCCACTAAGCGAGGAAACAAAAGATGTTTAAAACAGGAGCCGATTTACACCTGCGTTTTGAAACTTCAGTTAAAGTGTCCCTTTAGAGAAAGGGTAGTCAGCAAATTACACTATGCCGACTGTTAACTTGTTGGTGTAGGCATAATGGGCTGAATGGCCTCCTTCTGCGCAGTAACAGTTCTGGGAACATCAGAGAAGGAGAATAGGAGAGAGGGAGAGATTGCTGGGGCTGAGGGTGCATACAGCAGCTGGCGTGTCCCCTCCGATGGTGCAGTGTTTTACAGTCTGTTGTAGTGAGGGCCAAAGCTGCGAAGGCTAAAACTTTTAAAATGCAGTCCCAGGAGTGAGGGGATTTCGGTGAAGGTGGGAGGCCCGGGAGGAGAGGACAACACAACCGAGCCTGGCGGTAACAAACGCAGCAGCAGGTGACCGGATCCGGGGCTGGGGGTGAGGGCTCAGACTGATCGTTCATGGTCAGCTCCCGGGGGCTGGAAGCCACCCTGTGTTCCCCCGACCCCCACTCCCCTGTTTGAACCACAACCTGAGGACCATCCCCTACAGCCCACAGGCACCTGAGCTCACAGGCAGCACCCACGTCTTCACACCCCACCCGCTGTTACTGTCTCCACTTGTTGACAAAAAAAACAGGAGATTTCTGAGGAAAAGAACAGAATTCCTGGAAAAAATGCGACACTGTATAAGGAGTGATTTCATGCTTGTTTCAGCAACTCCCTTTTGCAGAAATTTTTGTCATGTCTGTGCATGAAGCAGCGTCATCAGAAAGCTTCAGAAAGTTATTTTTCCTCTCCTCCACTTTCCTTTACACTCTTTCCCATTATTCTCCTTTGCAGTCTTTTACCCTCTCCTCTCTTCCCCTCCCTCCCCTCCGTCTCTCTCTTCCCCCCTCCCCACTTGGTCATTGTTTGGCCTCAGAATTGAGCACATTCCTGGCCGCCTCATCGCTCCCCCCCTCTGCCCTGCCTGAACCGTGCCCCTGCGCGCATTCCACAGCCTCGCCAAAGAGTGCAGACACACAGGGGGAGGGGAGAGACACTGACTGGCATCTTTGTACCACCTTCCAGCTAGTGCTTTCCCCCTTCCCCTTCCCCTCACCCTCACCCCCACCCCACATACCCACCACCCAAATACCTGGCCGGGGGCAATACATTTCCTCAATGGGAGTGGGCAGTCAGTACAGTCTGTAAAGTGAAGGGGGGGGGGTGGTGGTGACAGGCTGGTGAACAGGGAGAGAGGGATGGCGGGGCGGGAGTGGTGAGGAAGAGGGCTGTGTCCCTGCCATCCGGATATTGAAGCCTTTTCTCTGCAGATTGTTACACGTTCGGCTGAGTGTTCCCTCCGCCGTGCGCGCCATTCCAGTCGGTGCTGCGGTCCCGGGGCTGGCACTCCGGAGAAGGGAATGTTTGTTTTTTCTTGTTGGGAATCTCAGATGCAAAAGAATAAAATGAAGCGGGCGAAAGGGGGGCGGCCAGCGCTGCGGCTCTGAGAACAATCACCAATCCGAAACTCAAGAACAAAAGAAGAATCCATCGGTTCCTTGAAACAAAATCATGTTTTAATGTTTGCCTCTGTCTCGCCGTGAGGGTTTGGAGTTTGTCCGGAGTTCCTCTCTCTGCTTTCACATTAAAGTGATGTCTAAATACGAGGAGGAGATCGGACTACAGGCGAGTTTTCTGGAGGATCTGTCCCTGTACCAGGCTCCGAGCGATGGGTTTTACAGTGAGCGGAGGAAGCTGCTGGGCAGCCCGGACTTGGAGGAGACAAAGCGGGCTTTCTTCCTGCAGATGATGCCGACGCATCAGCACCAGCTGCCGCAGCCTGAAGCCGCCGACAGGGTGAACGGGGCTGACCCCAGTCACCAGGAGCGGGGCCTGGCCACTTTCTGCAAACTGCCCGCGCCTCCCCGGGGCACGAATGGAAGCCGCAGCGGCGGGGGAGGGCTGGAGGCGGCCGGCCCGGGGCACCGAGGGGAACTGCAGCTGGGAGCAGGCGAGCCGGAGCCGGGGGCCTGCTACCTCCGAGGGTATAGCGCGGAGAGCCGCAGGTACAGCGGCGGTGCTCCTGAGCCGGGCCTGGTATGCAGCCGCCAGGCGGGAAGCTTCCCGCTTTATCCCGGCGCCAGTGTATCCGCCAGAGGTAACAGTGTATCGTCTGGGTCCCGGGGAAACAATGTATCCGCTTCCCGGGGAAACAATGTATCGAGTGGCGGCAGTGGTTTGGTCACTACGAGCCCCCGCTCCAGCCTCGCCTCCTCGTCCTCATCGTCCAACTCCACCCAGGAGCACAGCAAGCACTCGAGCCCCCGCTCCAGCCTCTACCCCAGCCCCCGCTCCAGCCTAGTGGTGCCTGGGCCCGGCCAGGAGCGTTACTCGAGCCCCCGGGGCAGCCTGATCCAGTACGAGGCTGCCCTGAGCTCCCGCTCCAGCTACGCCAGCTCGGCCAGTGACACCAGCAAACACTCGAGCCCCCGGGCCAGCTATGAAGGGGGAGGAGGCAGTAAAGCCAGCAGCAACCGGACCAGCGGCATCAGCATCGGCTACGACCAGAGACACATCAGCCCCCGCTCGAGTACGGTCAGCCCTCGTTCCAGTTACTCGGACTCCCGCTTTGTGCAGCCTCCTGATGCCGATCTGCCCGGACCCGGCCTCAGCGCCAGGAGCAGCATTTCCAGCCAGAGCTCCCGTAGCTCTCGGGGCTCCATCAGCGCCGCTTACCCCGAGCTGCAGCTGCCTTCCTCCCCCCGCTCCTCGGTGCTGGCTAGCGGCCTGCTGGAGGGTACTGTCCCCGGCCCAGACAGCTTGGCGTCCCCCGGGGAACCGCACTACCCACCCCGGCCGCAGGCTGCCCCCGCCTCGCCCAGCGCCGAGGCGACCCCCGGCTCCATCCTTTCCTATAACTACAGCCCCAGCAAAGGAGCGCCGCCTGCCCACAAGTTCAGGCTGCCTTACCAAGTCACGCCGTCCAGGGAGAGCGGGCCGAGCCTGGCCGAGAAGCGGCTGGAAGCTTTGACCAGGGAGTTAGAGAAAGAGCTGGAGCTACACGTCAAGAAGGAATATTTCGGTAGGTCCTCGGGCCTCAAAACGTTTACACGATATTGGGCCAGCTTTTCATTCCGGTATTTTTTAAAAAATGATTTCAAATTTCATCATTTGCCAAGTTGTGTTTCGAATCCATTCTGCAGACATTAGCCGCAGGTTCTGGATTGCAAGTCGAGTAACGTGACCCCTATGCCAGTGCCTCCTGATTTGGCCCAGTGTGTCAGTGTGGGCCTTGTGAAAGACTCAGTGCCCGTCACCAGCCTCTTGCCCTTTCATTGTGAGGGACCAATTGAAAGCAGGGAGTGTTTGGTTTCTCTCTCCCACCTCAGTGCCAACACCCATTGCTGGGAATCTGATAACACCACGTTTCAGAAGAAGCAGGCAAAGGGGTGGGATTGGGGTCCCAGATCTAAATTCTAGATACACATCTAGTGGGATACCTCAAGAAGTTATAGGCCACGTTCATCAATGTGTTCAACAGGAAGAATGCCCCCTCAGAGAGAATCCATTGCCCTGTTTTTTAATTCATTCACAGGATGAGGGCATCTTTGGCCAGGCCAACATTTATTACCCATCCCTAATTGCCCAATGGGTAGTTCACAGTCTGGAGTCACATGTAGGCCAGACCAGGTAAGGATGGCAGTTTACTTCCCTAAAGGAATTAGAGAACCAGATGGATTTTTCCCAACAATCAATATTACTAGGCCATTGCCTCCCCATTGTTGATTGATAATCAGCCGCTACTGGCAATGGGCAGGCCATACAACTTACAGCATGTCTCCTGCCAAACAGCTCAGTGATCCTGCAGCAACTCTGCATGGAAGCAGGTGTGGGTCCTGAACTAATGTTGCAGGATGGCTCTGCTAATGTGGATACAATACTAGTGTGGACGGGTCTGTTGCTGTATAACACTGGGGTACAGTACTGGTGGGGACTGGCCTGTCGCTGTGTAACACGATT